AAAAAACAGATTTCCAAAATAATTTCAGCATTAATAACTCCAGGTGCCAATGAGGTTTCTAGTAAGTATGGCGTTAACTACTGATTTTTCCCCTCAGGTTAGACAATGAAATTATCCAGGCAGATACAAATCAATTTCACTTCCAATGTGATTGCATCCCTTGCTGCATACACCAGGATGATGAGCCACAAAGGAGTATCGCATTAAACAAAATCCATTCTTGCTATAATTTCATGCCAACGTTTTTTTCCCCGACCATCAAGTGAAGATTGTACACAAAGGTGATCGAGCATTACCTCTTTAAACAAGCAGGCTTTCCTCTAGCAAGAGTTCAAGGAAAGATCTTTTCAAACCTGAATCGACAGTGACTGTCGTCTGAAGTCAAGTATTCCTGCCATGGCATCTTGGAAAACCCAAAACTGTGAGTACCAAGTGGCACACTCAAGTTCAAACAAATAGCAGCCACTGAAATACGTTCTGAAGCATGCTCCAGAAACAAGAGGTAACTGAACCTGTCATGATGCCATTACGTGTCATAGACAGGGATGAGCACAGTTTTAAGAGGCTAGGGTGAGGAAAAGGGTCTCTCTGTCCCCTCACTAATCTCCTGTGCCAATCTTTCAGAGGCTCTGAGACTTGGCCCTGGTGTCTTCACCCTACGAAGAAGCTGCAGTGCTGAAGAGCACAGGCACATGTGTGTCCTCCACTCTCCTGGGACTTGTGATTCTGTACCACCAACACAACCGTGCTCCTCATTCACGCCTCTCTCAGGGTCCATATGTCCCATAGAAACTCCACACAGAACAGTTCTGTTTTGCTCCAGCACTTTGTCAGGGAGGAGTTGGAACAGTATGAGTTTGATGTGGGAAGAGGGAGCGCAGACTGCCTCCATCTTCTCCTGTTCTCCCCTCGTCAAACAAAGATGCCACGCAGCTGGCACAATCCCAGCACTGGGGAAAGAAAGAAGGGATGGGACAGGAGAAAATAGGCAAAGTGGACAATGCAGGGCAAAAGACAAGGCCAATTGTGTGGATATTGTCATATCACAATAGTAGCATCTAATACACTATTATTTGGCACTGCCTGGTACATCTGTACACTAAGAATCGCAGTACTACCACGGTATTGGAAAACTGCTACACCCAGAAGTACTGATTCCAACCCCTGTGTGCTATACCACACACCCTGTAATGCAAACACAACTGGTAGCCTTTGAGAAGTGCCTGAATGCCTGTGCTCGCTAAAGCATCTTTCAGAAAACTGAAACAACCAGCTCTTCATAACCCCTGAATTACACTTAAAAAAAGTGTTTAACCCCTATACTCAGAGGTAAGAAAACAAGCAACTTGCCATCACTATTAACAGCAGAATTACAGCAACACGTATGAGCAGGAGACAATGAATTCCAGAGGCTTCAATCAGAATAATGCAAAGATATTCAGAAAGTGAGAAAACAGAGCACTACAGTGGGATTTGTTTGAACATTCCTCAACAGCTTTCCTCAGGAAAGCTCTGAGGTATGAGCATTCCCTGCATTTGAAATGATTTGTAAAATCCATATTGGAGGTTTGTTTCTTTGCTCAAATTAGCCTTTATTCTTATGGAGCTCTACACAGCCCTGAGCAACTACTGGGATCACAGAAAAAAGCACAGGACTTGTAATGATGACTGTAGAGATAAAGGGCTGTTTCATCACGTTTCTAGTAAAATGGATTAGGGAGTTAACAAAAAAAGTTCTTAGCAGTCACGCACTGATATCACAGAATCGAACATGATAAAACAAGCGCTGCTAACTCACAAGTGACGAGAAAACAGATGCAGTGGGCAGGGATGACAAGGCTGGAAAAGCAGTGGAAGCCTCTGGCTAGGATTGAAGCATGCCACTAGGATGGGTGTGCAGTCTGGCAGCCACTGCAAAGGGGTTCTAAGTGTCAGGGCAGGTATGTCCCAGAAGAAGTGTTCTAGAGAAAAAGACTACAGCTATACAAGCTCCGAGACACGATGCTAAGGTTTATTAACTGACCAGAACCGAAGAAATGTACAAAGGATATAAGCTGTGTGGTTATTAACTCTCACTTATTCTGAAATATTCAGAAAACTACCCCTTCTGTGCTCTTTTTCTGTCTTGGGGGGCAAAGGGAGAATGGTTAAGAACTGCTTTCATCAAGATTGAAAGTTTGTACCATAAACATCCAAACTAAAGTAAACTCTAGAACATCTATGAGACAGCCTATACTAAATCCAAACAAAACTTCAGGTTATCACAGCAGAAATGAGAAAAACTGCACCAAAACTGAAGATAGCATTCTTAATTACCAGAATGCAAAAGAACACAATGAAAATTCTGAAACTGAAACCACAAGTATTAATTAACCACAACCACGCACAATATATATTAAAAAAGACAAAAACAGGTTAAATGTGCAAAACACAAGTCACTGCTAAGCCTGAGACGAGACTATCCACCATCAACAGGTGTGGATAACATTACATTAACCCTGGAAATTTCAAAAATAATCTGAGTCGCCATCAAAACATGAAAAACTTACGTTCCCAAAACAAAACCACTATTTTGCAAGCAAGCAGTAAATATGCTAGTTTTATAATTGTTATAATCACTATTATTTAAAACAACTAGTCAGTTTCAGTTTGGAGAAAACATATATGCAGCCTGTCACCCTTCCAAGGAAATAACTGTGAAAGATTAATTATCTTCTAAATTTTGTAATGTTAGAAATATGTAATAGCCCATCCACAAGGGAAGGATCCCCCATGGAACATCCACGGAACAACCACAATACCAGGAGGGGAGGAGAACAGCGCAGCTGGGAACAGGGAGAACAGTCTTTTAACAGAAATTATGAAAATTAAGCTTTTAAAAAGCTTCATAGAATAAACATTAGAGCATTTTTCCTTCCTTCTTGTGAATAAAAGTAACTGTCTGTTCCTAAGAGGATTTTTATGAACGAGGGTCATCTCCAAAGAGACAGCACTATAAACATCAGATGAGCAAAATAAAATGATCCTCTTAATTCTGAAGTTAGCTATATTTCACAGGCCAAATAGCAGATGATCGGTTTTATATTAGATGTAAGGTAATACAGATGTCAAATGATACTTCTGAGGCAATATGTAGTGGTGAAGAGACATCAGGAAAAGCAGAGTGGACACCTCCACAGAAAACAATAATTGTACAGCTAAGCACACAGAAAGCATCCCGATATTCTGGCAGACCGAATTTAAAGCTGCAACAATCTAAAACCTCAGGGGCGATCTAGCTCTGCTCAGATTGTGCAAGAGAGAGTTTTTCCTGCAGCTAACGAACAACTGTGAAAACATTTTATGTTAGTTACATGTAAATTGTCTTTTAACTCTTCCTCGTTGTTTCCTATATCTGTTAAAATTTATATGTAAGTAGTCACTAAAGAAATATAAAGCATAAAGATTGTTCCAGTGTTTTAAGATGAAAGCAAACAGCTGTCATTAATGCTTAGCAATGTTCTGATATACCGGCATTAATTTTGTTTGCTTTGGAAAGAATAATCCTGACAAACAATTATGAGTATTCAGCCACAATAATATAGATGTAGACGATAAAATACATAGGTCCGTGATAAAATAATCATGGGGAATGACCCACTTGGACATGACATACAGCCACTCCTCTCTGTTAATAAAAGTTTGTCTACAACATCCCGTTTCCTATTGCTCCGCTGGGTGCAGGTTCCTGTGAACAAAGTGACAAGGTCACCGCCAGCCTCTTTGAGACAAAGCAATCTGTGGCCCTATAACCCTGTCTCCTGGGAATTCCCTTGTTTCCTACCTGAACTAACACTTCCATTTCCACTACTTTCTCATTAGAAAATGTCACCACATGAATAAAACCAGAGGAATACAATTCATTTGTGGAAACATTTTATCAGTATTTTAAATCAAAACAGCATCTTCAAGTAGCATGCGGTTGAAAGAATATAAAAAACCCAACAAACACTTGAGGACAACAATGTACTTCGAAACCAAAAATACTGTAGTACCTAGAAGAAAAGCAACGTATCTGTCTAACACATCCTTTGCTAAGAAAAGGAAGAGTATTCTCAGCAGGCTGAAGTAAGCACATTCAAAAACCTGCACAACCTCTGAAATCATCTAAAAAGTCACAATTTTAAAGGAAGCAAATACAGCATCCCCTTAGGCTTGGGCTGTAGTTTTATGATACAAGGAGTTTGGTGGCAAATACAGCACACGGAATTCCCACCTGAGCCACGCACTCCTGTCTACATGCCCTAGAACAGCAACCTTTCTGCTGGACCAATGAACATATTTCTAGGATGATGCCATGAACCAGAAGAGTTACCTAATCTTGCTTAAACGTAACCTGTACACCACATGTCCACACACAGCTACATCGGTCCTCACTGAAGAGGAGAGTGGGGCAGCTACAACTAGGTGAGGATAGAAGGTAACAACTTGCTTAGTCAGCACTCCCACCTTTCATGTTGTAAAACAAACAAACAAAAATAAACCCAACCTGTATGCTGTCAGAAAAGAACATTTCCAGTTGCTAGAGACAATTACTGTAAGTGAGCAATAGTTGCCCACAGCATCCGTTAAATTGTTTACCTATGGGCAAGCCAGTAATGTGAATAGATTTAATTTCACCAGATCATTTTAATAATACAAGTAATTGTAAATTGATTTATTTAATTCTTTATATAACTGCTTCCCCAGTATCTGTAGCTATTTTAAAAATTGTACCCTCTTTCCAATTTACGCTTGTGGTTTGTTTTCATTACGGAAAATTTTTTTGGCTAAGAGTTCAAATTTAACCTACACTAAATTCCTATTTAAACTAAACGCCCACATAAGCACTTCTCCCTACCAAGCACTGGACAAATCCTAACCCTTATGCTACCTTCCAAGGTGTCACTCACCAAAATTAGCAATGCCAGTTTTGTGTAACAAACGTTATGCAGAGATTCACAACCCCGTTCACTTACCACTCTCATCAAGTAAGTCCTCCTCGTCATCCCCATCATTGTCCTCCTCCATCGCCTCCTCCTCATCTTCCTCCTCCTCCTCTTCCATATCCTCCTGCTCCAAGTCCGGGTCCAGGTCCGGATCACTCCCTGAGATTGACTCGTCTGACATGATTCCCAGTGGTGCTCCTTGTGCATTACCTGCTCATGTTCTACCGTGAGGCAGCCCTGCAAGAAAAGAAAAGAGATACATAATGAGCCCAGTAAACCCCAACCTTTGAGCCTCAAGGCTCAAAATCATAGCAGGATTACTGCATATAAAAACACAAATCTGCCATCGGTCTTTTAAATAACAGTTAGATCAGACTGTACACACAATTCTGTGTAGAAAACGGATGCCATAAGCAATGTATCACAGGATACAGGCCCAGCATTGCAGAATCAGTATCAGAACCAATGTATTAACTAATTAGTCAAAAAACCACTTTTTTCTTGGTATCCTTGACATGTCACAGCAGACAGTATTGATATCTGACTACATAAAGATGCAAAAATAAATACATTATGTGAACAATTTCAGAACACTACCGTCCAAACATGAAGCATAGAAAAAAAGGATGAGTCTCAGAATCCCAAAGGGCTACTCATTACCCTGATCTATGCAGGCCCCATTGCAGTGTGCAGACCCCATTGCAGTGTGCAGACCCCATTGCAGTGTGCAGACCCCATTGCAGTGTGCAGACCCCATTGCAGTGTGCAGACCGTGGGTCACAGACAGAAACCACCCTCCTGACTTAGCTGTATCTGCTGCAAAGGTCACCCAGCTGCTAATCACACACTGTCTGAAGTCTGCGTCCCAACCAGAGCAGAGGCGGCGTTACCTTAATAACGGTATGGACAGAAGACAACGAAGATCCAGTTTTTAAAGGTTGTACGTCCCTTTGTAAAGCAGGGTAAGAAGAAAAGCAAACACAAAGGAAGGATGGATGAGAGAGAATTTGCATTTCCTTCCTCTAAAGGACAAGACCAGAGCTGGCTGTGCGTAACTCCTCTGTTACCATACTCCAGCGCTTCACAGCAGAAATCGTGGTACAAAAACACAATAAAGCCTAAAGAGAGGGCCAGGGCAATCACAGAGTCACAAGTTTATCTGTTCGGATCATGCACTGCCACTTCTGGGCAGCGATGCCTGTCTGGGCTCTCCTCTTCCATGCACAAAGAATGATCATAAGGGAACTGTGTAATATGGCTGAAAAGAAAGAAACACAACAAGAAAGGAAGATAAAGAAAGCACCTTGATCTCAAGGAACATAAAGCGAAGGATGTGTTAAAAAAAAATCAAGCCTCAGAAGAATTACTACCCATACATTCCCAGAAAGCTTTAAAGAAAGAAGAGGGAAACATTTCCTTGCTATTCATTTTCCACTGCCCCTTACTTACACCACATTTTCAGTGTAAACTATAAAACGCTTGAAAACTAATCAGACATTTAAAAAAAAAAGTCATTTCTAAGCAGATAAAGCAGCATACATATCTACAAGCACTTCAAGAAACAGAAAAATTTGATTTTCAGCTGTGTTTCAGCAGTAACTAGATGAGCTCAGAAACTTGAAGGTTAAAGACACAACTCAACGCTCCTGTAGCAGGGCTGAAAATCTAACTGTCAAGCACGCTGAATTATTCCAGCTGCAGTCATCAGTTCCTGCTTTGCCTCTCTCAGCTCCTCAATAACATTGAAGAGTGTCTGAAAGAAAATAAACACGAGGGAAGCACAGGCTTTGCGGAGATTGGTATTGGAATGGGAAGCATTGCACCGCCAGGTCCCAGGAGCACTTCACCACCAGGCAGAGACAACTGAAGTCCCTACACTATTACATGTGTCTCACAAAATAAGTTGGCTTCGTCAAGCAGATGGTAGAAAAGGCCAAAATCTAAATTAGCTCAAGTGGAACGGTGCCAGTTTACACAAGCCAAAAGAGATTCATTCAGCTTCTCTGGTCTGCTGGTAGGCAGGTAGATTTCAAGACAGCAGCTTATTTTTACTTTTAAATCACAACGTTCTCTTCCAGCTGATATTCAGCCCTAAGGAAAACAAACATTGTTTTACTCTTTACAGGTGGTACTCAAACCTGCAACTGTAAAGCTGCATGTGATTCCTTACATTTCAGAAGGAGATGGTCAGTAGTGTTTCCTTTGTGGGCCTCTGTGGGTCACCTGGGATTTCAAGGGGATTTATTTATTGCCATGTTGTCCATACTGTGCTATAAAGCACTGCGCATCCTATCTGCCAGAAACCATATCAACAGAAGCATATTAAAAAATGCCCGTGTTTTACTATCCCAGCAAACCAAGCACCAACCAAAAAAACCCAAATAAAACCCCTCAAAAAAAAAGAAGAAATACAAACATGACTAAAATGGCAGGAATTAATTCTCATCTGCAAACAGGAAAAAGTAGAAGTGCAGTAACTTCACTGAACACTCCAGGTCAAAGAATGACACATGATAGTTTCTCCCATCAGCATCCTCCCGTGGGTCATCTCTCAGGTTTCATTGTTGCAGAACCTTAAAACAAAAAACACCAGCACAAAACACTTTCTGAAACTTTTTTAAAGGAAAGGATATGGCTCCTTGTGTTTCTACAAATAAAATCAAACACAGCGGAGAGCAGCTATCTCTCAGACTGTACAAAAGAGCTCTAATCTAAGTTTTATTTTTGTTTAGCAACAAGGACACGTTCTTTAGAAGCCAACCCTTGACGCCCTTTCAGCAGCCACAGCCACACGCAAGAGAGTTAAACTGAAGCTTTCGAAAATGCTTTAATTAAGTCTGGCAGAAGCTGGGTGAAACAAAGACTGTTAACTCCTCTGTGCCTATTGTCATGCTGCTGTCGGTCTTCCTCCCTTCCATCCTCCTCCTCAGCTCCGTAGCCACTCTCCGTAAGGCCGGGGTCCCGGGAGGGCTCATTCCCACCCTGCACGCTGGGAGCGGGCAGCAGGGACGCGGCAGGCAGGCAGGGCAGGTAGGCACCACACCGCGGCGAGACTGCCCTCGTTTCTCACACCGATCTGACCCAGTTCGGAGCCTTCCACCAAGGGGAATTACACAACAGGGCCAGATTGTAGCTGCCGCTGCTGTTTTACGGGTGACTTATTCCAGCCTGCCCCGTCTCTTGCCTTTGCCCACGCGGGCGCACCGCGCTCAACCTTTAATCGCTGCAGGAAGGGCACTTTGCGAGAGATAAACAGATTACCTTCAACTAATCGAAGTCAGCGTTTGCCTGGACTTCCCGGCCGTCCCACGTTAGATCTGCCGCAGAAAGCGGCGCTGCGCCGCGAGCGGCACGCCGTGAGGAGGGTTACCAGCGCCCAGAAACACAGAGCAGACCCGCTGCGCCACGGTTTACAACAGCGAGCAAGAGGTCCACGCAGTACAGTGCCCAGTTCAAAACCTGGTGAGGCCGCTGGGAAAACGGGGTGGGGTATTAGGTGAAAACACTGCGAAAAATTCCTCTTGCATACTCAGGGATGAGAAGAGAGCTGTCATGTTTATCCTACCCAGGAAGTTAAACCCTGCAATCAACTCCTCATCAAATTAACATCCGAGACAGCCTCTCTCAGGTATTATGTCCTGTCTTTCAACAAAGATAAAAATAGTTCTGAAGTTCTTTGGGTTTTGCTTTTTTAAGGTAGAACATTTCAGGTAGTAAGTAAATGCCATGTGGTGATGCCTCCTCCTCAGCCTGCACAGAAAGCAGGCCCAGCTCTGGACTAGGAAATGTCGAGGGCTTGCAAATTTCAACGCATTTTTGTTGTCCTCATGTTTCCCTTTCACTCTGCAAAGGTTTAAAATCACTGTTTCTTCTTAACGTATGAAGTTGAGAGAGAAACGTCAAAGTGAACTTCGTCCTTTCCAAGAGACAGTTTTTCACCACAGGGTCACACATGCCATGAGCCAAACTACTAAGTGAAACAGCAAACATCATGAGATCTGGTGATTTTGCCCATTTCTGTACACCACCACCACTATAAAAATCCAACTATGATTTAACTATTACAAATACAAACAAGTAAAAAGGAAGGATGCAGGACACGGCAGACTGGAGTCCTTCCCCACCTAAGCAAGGAGGAGCAGGGTTCCCCTATAACTCCAGGAAGCCACAGAAGCCAACGTGGCTTTGCAGAAGCACTTGGCCAGCTACGACACAAGTGATTTAGGCACAGGACATGCTCATTCCTGAGGACACACACCCATCTCATACAAATCCCTTCAGAAAGGGCAGGTTTAACACTAATGCTACTACTGTGCTGAATAGTAAAGAGGATTCCATCACCTCCCCAACCTCCAGCCAAGCCCAATATCTGGGACTCATCAAGATTTGTCCCTTAAAGCCTGTTTTGTAACCAAGACTTCACACTGGTCGTTGTGGTGTCCAGCCACAGAAACAGGATCAAGCATGCTGGCAAATCACATGAGGATTTGCACAGACGGTTTAATAAAACCGGGTATTTCAAAATTAGTGCTGCACAACGCTCTTCAGTTCCTGCTATGCAGTCATGGTTTATGGTAATAACAGTTTCCTTTTTTTTTTTTTTTTTCCTGTTTGGCAGCAAAACGGTTAGTTGGTTAGGGTAGTGACATTCCTCTTAGACACTCAGCTCCCACACAAACACTTCAAACTGGTTGTGTATGAAGGTAACTGCTGGCTCCTCAGGATAAATCTCATCTTTTTTGCTAGATCACATGCTAGCACGGTTCTCATACCTTATAGGTAGCCTTCGGTAACTAATGGAAAATTACTACAAAGTATCTAGATGGATCACTAAAAAAGTCATGAGTTTAAGCTTCTCTGTAAGATAAAAAATCCTGTTATGGTTTGCAAGTAATAACTTGCAATGTTATTGCAAAATAGCAGTGAATCCTTTTCTCTTCAATTTAAACATCTAATAATAAAAAAACCTGAGATGAGTGGTTTGGACAGTCTGATTCTGACAAACATTAGAAATTCTCTCATTTACATTATGTAACATATTAGCATCTCTATTTTACATCGTTATTGATCAATACTAGTCTAGCAGATCCCATTTATGCTTTTAACAAAGCAAATGTGTTTACTGAGAAATCAACAGTAACTTCTCTCCCCCAGTGCTAACTCCCACAAATTGCCTTCAAA